TTTTATACAGAGAGTGCAATAACACCAACTTAACTTAATACTCAAGGCTCAATAGGTTTATCGTCTTAGATAAACTTCAGACTATTGCAGAGAACCATCGCACGAATTCAGAGTATCACACTAGCCTCGTGATAAAGATGTTCGCTTTGCAAATGGTTAACAACTACACATCACTCTTCTACATTGCTTTCGCTCGACCTGAAAACAACGTAGCATTTGAACCCTATGAGCTGCTCCCTACTTTTGAGCATAAACATCAAGATTCAGGGTTTTCAACCGAATGGTCTTTTTGGCTTGGGCGAAAACTTTAAAGACGTTTGCATGCCGGGAACGTGTGGCTCACTTTTAGCAGTTCAGCTGATTTCTCATATGATCATTAAACCCCTCCCTAAGTTTACAAGTGATATTGTGATACCGTAAGTTTGAAAACTATTTCATATACAAAGAATGACTTGGAAAAGTTGTTTTGAGGTACGTGATGCGAATTTTCCGACTGAGAAAATGGTACTACCAAGATCGACAGAATATGAAGGATATGTTGAACGAAGGCGACGAGACCAGCGTGCTCGTTCGAGAATGGTTGAAACCAACAGCTGGAGAGTTCACTCAAGGCGAATTTAATGAAAAAATCATACTTTTCGGGACTACTATGGTGAGTGGCACAAATCACAATCAACTTATCTTCGTCAGGAGGTTAAAATTAATGCTAATAAAGTGTGTAAGAAAGTTTCTCTTTTGGATTTCTTCTATACATCGTTTTTTCTCTCTCGTTTTAAGTGACTAACCAAATCACGATTGATAAAGCATTTCTAATGTCAGAACTCTTTTTTTACATTTGCTATTTTTTGCGTCAACTCTATAATCTTAGAACAATAGGTATCAGAATGTTGTATATATAGTAAATTCTTCTTTGAAAGATATAGTTCAGATGTTTGCTGCACTGTTCCCTCTCGCGCCTTTGATTGCTTTGATTATTGGACTAATAGACCTTCGAGTAGATGCTCTTCGTCTACTTTGGCTTAACCGAAGGCCGGTTCCAGTGCTGACGCAAGGTATTTATCTCCAACATTTGTTTCCTCTTAGATTGGCTGCAATTTAATCTAGCTTCTTTATTAATTATGCAAGGATATTTTACACTTTTAAACAGTATTT